AATTTTACTGCAACGCTTCCATGGTAGAGAAGTCATTGTGTTGAATATGCTAGAGTTATATTAAACTGTAATTCCAGACTGAATTATGATATTTCATCTAGTGAAGGGTATCCTGGTTCAACTAGCTTTTCTAGTTACATGATCCATCACTTGTATTGACGTGCAGATTGTTGAAATCCCTTAAATAGACTAGTTCACATCATCCTGCTTCATGAGACCATGACATTGTTCTTGCTTTGCCTTTTCAGAACAAATATATATGTCAATCCACCAGTTGCTCCTCCTCTAGTTGGTGGATATGGGTATGGTGTGCCATTCTATGGTGGATGGGGCTGGTCGCCTTTCTCGTTCTTCGCACCAGGCCCTGGTGTTGCCGTTGGCGTTGGAGGTGGATTCGATACGCTGGTCCTGTTCTTGGTTCTTGGTGCTGTTGCTTCTGTTCTTCGGAGGGTACTTCGGTCAAGAGACGAAGATGAATACTAGCATTTACAAGACACGTTCGTCCAAATTACTGGAATTAGTCTTGTACAAGAGGCTACTGATATATAGTTAGCAGTGTCATGCAGCCATAGTTATATAAATTTATGTATTGGCAACAATTATCAAGCGAAATTGGAACTCTGTAAAAGAAAATTTGGGGTATGAAGCTTTTCTTCAAATTCCTGAAAGGGTATATAAACTAGTAAATACAGCATCTCCTATGTAGGGATTTTGATGGCCTCATTTTCTTTTGAAGCTGCAGTTACTCTTATGTTTACTTTTTCCTACTTTCTATGAAAATATTATATTTTGGAAGAGCAATTCTTTTCACAATTAATGTTGTGTTTTGAAGTTCTTTGGGGTATTATCACTTCTAGCCCGCGATAGAAGCTATTTACATTTGATAGCCGAAAAAGTGTATAATTTTTGTATATAACATACATAATGTATATATATACAAAAGATATACAATTTTTCGACTATTATTTTGAGAGTGCTATACAGTGTCATTTTTCCAAGTTCTATCGGGACTTTGCAATTGTATGCAGGGCTATGCATCCTTAATGCTTACCACATCCGTTGTGAAACCTATCGCAATTTTCTTCTTATGTGCCTGCAAATACTAATCAATGAAAAATAGCCACTATTTTGCTGTAACAGAGACCGGTCCAGCATAATATACTGGAGTTCGGTGCACCTGTATATGAACTTCCAGCATATTATACTGGAACTCCAACACACGGAAAGTTCTAGCATAATATACTGGAGATTCGAGCACTTGTATATGAACTTCCAGCATATTATATTGGATCGGTATACTTGCTAGAACTCCAGTATATTATGCTGGAGTTCTAGTGTACTTATGCTGGAAATCCATCATATTATGCTGGAGTTCCAACATACTTATCCTGGAACTCCAGTATAATATGCTGGAGTTCAAGTATACTTATGCTGGAACTCCAGCATAATATACTGGTGTATTTTTCGAGTTTTGAACAGTGTTTTCGCTCAGATTTATCTTTACATGAAAAGTGGCTAAATTTCGATTACTTTTGAAACTGGGTTATTTTTGAGCGACCACTTGTAAAATTTGGCTATTTTTGAATTTCTCCCTTAATATTTTGGAGGAATGGCATCGCGGAGAAATTTAAAATAACCAGATTTATAAGTGGTCATTCAAAAATAGCCACAGTTTCAAAAGTAATCAAAATTTAGCCACTTTTTATGTACAGATAAATCTCGAAAACACTGTTCAAAATCCGAAAAAATACTCCAACATAATATACTGGAGTTCTAGTATAATATACCGGTCCAGCATAATATACTGGAGTTTGGAGCACCGGTGCTCCAGTCTCCAGTATATTATGTTGGACTGGTATATTATACTAGAACTCCGGTATATTATACTGGAGCCAGCAAAGTATACCGGTCCAGCATAATATGCTGCAAGTTTATACAAATGTGCACCGAACTCCAGTATATTATGTTGGACCGGTTTCTATTGCAGCAAAATAGTGGCTATTTTTCAATGACTTGACAAACGTTGACTATTTTTGAATGACTGATCCGAAAACTGGCTAGACCGTGCTATTTTAACATGGCACCAGCCACCATGTAGCCCGTTGTGATGAAATCGTTTAAAATATAGCTGATTTTCAAAAATTATTTAAAAATTTAGCCACTATGTAATAATAAGTAAAATTTGGACAAAAATATCCCTAAATTTAAGACGAAAAACTTCAAATCATTGGGGCTAAAGTTAAGATCTACCAAAGACGATCTTTATACCCAAAGGTATGAACTTTGAAGCTCTAAATTAACACGGAATACTTCAAAGTCAGACCATCGGACAACTTTAGAACCGAGGTTTGAATATGAACTTAGGCTATTCCATTTTAAACTTCATATCCAACTATCTGAAATTTGAAGATGCGGCTAAAGTTTAATTTTTTCATCAACTCTGACAATTGTTTAAATAGCGGTGCTAAAACAATTGAATATGCAGTTGCCCCTAATATTTGATGGCTTTGGAGGCATTTGATATAAGTTTGATCTAAGAGTCTTGTTTAGTAAAAGTGAAAATGATGCATAACTCTTACAGTATTAGTGTTAGGGATATAATAGATATACCCAAGATTCAATCTCATATTTGATAATTTAAACATATTTTTGTGAACGTTATTTCACTTAAAATATATATGGCATTTGATATTCTTTTATCATTATTATTAATTGCTTGATTAATTTGATAAGGTCCTTGATTAAATTTTGAGACTTGTCATTGTGAAGGAGATCATGATAATGAGAGTAAAGTTTCTTATAATTTAATCTAAATTTTGTTCTTGATCGTATGATTATTAATTTTGGACATTAGTAATCCGATTAGATCAATATTTATGTGATCGTCTTTATGTGATAAAGATTAGTTGATCTCATTAACTAAATTATATGGATAGATGATGCATATAAATATATGATCATTGAACCGACTCATTGGATAATTCTTAATGGTTAGAATTACCATAAAATGTCAATAGGATATTCTCCTGAAGAATGTGATGTAAGAGTTTCCTTTGACCTGGGATCATCACAGTAATTGACAAGTTATTTATTGTGCTGCGATACTAGACACCTATGGCCTAGGGCGATAGTTGAAAGGATATTGGGTACGATTAAATACTTGTAAAATTAGTGATTGATCAACATGGAATCTGTCAACTCTTGGTAATGAGTTTAAGCTCCGTGCAAACGACCAAATTAAGACTTTGGCCAGGGCAATTGAATGAAAGAAGAAAAGAGTTTCTTAGGTCATTCAATGGTCAATTATATTTGACATGAACACACAGTTGGTCGCCTATTAGGATTTGACAATTGAACGATATCCTAGGATGACCCAGAGCTATAAGGACAGAAGGAATTACTACATTATTTTTTTATGGATTCTCGAGAGTAAATTGTATACTTAATGCTATCCGGTCGTTAAGGAGTGTTTCTAGACGTCACCCTTGATTAGTATATTAATGTGATTAATTTACTACCGGTTTAGTATTGAACCTATGGGGTCTAATCGTTGCTAAAAGATTAATTACTTTATTATTTGATAATTAAATTAAAGAATTTGATTAGTCAAATAAATTTAGTTATTAGTTCATATGAAATATTATTATATTCTTTGCTAGCACAGAGAATATTGTGAACAAATTAAAATTTTTTATTTGGAATAAAAAATTAAATTATATCTCTTTATTGAAATATATATGCGATATATATTTGATATTTATAATTAATATTTAATTTATATAAGGAATGTATACTAATACTAATTCCTCATTATGTAGAATCCAATTTAGAATTGGACTGGAAAAGTTCATACATGTCGGCATCTTCAACCCATTTAGAATGGGATTAAGGAAAACTTTGGACTTCATGGAAAGTCCATGTAGAACTCGGCAGACTCAAACATATTAAGAATAAGTTTCCGATTTTTCTCTAGAAAAATTATATAAAGTTTATTTTTGGAATAAACTTTTACCCTAAGTAAATCATTACCTCAACCAAATAGAAAACGGGTTTGTAGGTGATGCTATATGAAGGGTGATAGAGAAAATTTGCCGCATTATTAATTCTTGAGAAGAAAAATACTTTGTGAAAGTGAGAGTGCAATACAAAGCCAAGAGAGAAAATACAATTACAAGAAAAGTGTTTCTTGTTCTTCTAATTTGAGTTGAGATTTTTCAGAAAAATTTCAGCACAAGTTTTTCGTTTAATTTTGTTCGCGGGTTTCATTGATTAAAGAGTTGATAGCAAGGCTCGGTCTCGGTGTGGATACGCATAGAGTCTTCGCATTATCGAAGAAATTTTGAAACGAGACTCTCTTCACCAGGTACGTCTTAGATCCGATCTTTGGCATGTAAATAAATGTTAAACACAAAAATATTTGCCTAGGATTGTTATTATCTTCCGCTGCGTGTTATGAACACATATATGCAATCCTTCAATTAGTTTATTTTTCAATTACATTGGGTAGAGGTGTACCAGGTCGGGTTGGTTCGGATTTTTCGATTACCAAACCAAACCATTTGTGTCGTGTTATTAAATCTAAAGATCAAACCAAACCAATAAAAGCTGAGTTTTTAAATCTCATTTTTCTCGAGTTTTTCGGATTTTTGGGTTTTCTTAAAAGCTGAGTTTTTAAAAGCTGAGTATTTGTGCTCCAAATATTTATTTAATCCTAGTAAGACAGAATGTTCAACAATAAAGTTAATAAAATCGCATAAATTAATCTTATTAATAAGCCATAATAAAAATGAACATAATAAGTGTTGAGAGATAGATTGATTCTGAGTTTACAGAGAGAAGAGAGGAATCTCAGAGATGAACTACTCTGTGTATTAAAGTAAAATGAAGTAGTTAATGCTTACATATGTACAACTCTACTATATATATATATAACACAACTCCTATGTCCTAACTAACGGAATTAATTAGCTAGCCTATTGTAACTGTACAACTACAATTGCCTATGTACAACTTTCATTGCTATGACTAATTTCTACACTCCCCCTCAAGTTGGGTGGTGAAAAGATATTTATCATCCCCAACTTGCCAACCATTTCACTATGCAATTGTTTCCTGAGTGCCTTAGTCAATATATCTGCAATTTGGTTCCTGCTTGAGACATGTGCTGTTTTGATCAGCCCCTGTTGCAATTTTTCTCTAATAAAGTGGCAATCAATTTCTATGTGCTTTGTACGCTCATGGTACATTGGATTAGAGGCAATTTGTAAAGCTGCTTTGTTGTCACAATGAAGCTCCATAGGTAGAACAACCTTTAATCCCAATTCTTCCAACAATCCATGCACCCATACCAATTCAGCCACAGCGGTGGCCATACTTCCATACTCAGCTTCTGCTGAACTTCTTGATACAGTACTCTGTTTCTTGGATTTCCATGAAATGATAGAATCTCCCAGTTTTATACAATATCCTGTGACTGACTTCCTGGTCATTGAGCAAGATGCCCAATCTGCATCACAAAATACAGTCACTTTTCCACTAGTTTTGTTGCTCATCAGCAGTCCATGTCCTGGTGAATCTTTAACATATTTTACTACCCTTAAAACTTCTTCATAGTGAGACTGTTTTGGAGTATTCATAAACTGACTCATAACCTGAACTGCAAAAGATATGTCAGGTCTTGTGATTGCTAGGTATAATAGCCTCCCAATTAACCTCTGATATACTCTTCTGTCCTCTAGATCTTCATCAGTTGTTTGTCCTCCACAATGCTTATCATATTCTACACTGGTGAGCTTCAAGTTTTGATCCAAAGGTGAGTCAGTTGACTTTGCTTCTCCCAATCCACATTCTGATACAAGCTCCAGTGCATATTTCCTTTGGTTCATGAGAATACCCTTGCTTGACCTTGCAAACTCAATTCCTAGAAAGAATCTCAATTCTCTCAGGTCTTTCATTTTGAAATTTTCATTCAGAACAGTTTTAGCCTCTTAAATCAGCTCATGATCACTACATGTAATTAACAGGTCATCAACATAAACCAAGATAATAACTATGTCACTATTATGTCTCTTGGTGAATAGAGAATAGTACAACTTGCTTTGTGTGAAGCCAGAATGTATAAGAGCTGAGGTGAGTTTCAAATTCCATTGTCTACTAGCCTGTTTGAGACCATAGAGGGATTTGAGAAGTTTGCACACCTTAGTCTCCCCCTGACTACCAAATCCCTGAGGCAAATACATGTAGACCTCTTCAGAGAGATCCCCTTGTAGGAAAGCATTGTAGACATCCATTTGGAATAAAGGCCAATTATGTTGAGCTGCAATGGCCACAACACTTTTGACAGTGACCATTTTAACCACTGGAGAAAAAGTCTCATGATAATCAAGGCCCTCTTGTTGAGTGAACCCCTTTGCTACAAGTCTTACCTTAAACTTTTCCACAATCCCATCAGCTTTGTACTTTACCTTAAAGACCTATTTACACCCAATGGGAGTTTTACCTGCAGGTAAATCCACTAATTCCCAGGTGTGATTGTCATTGAGATCCTGAAACTCAAGGTTCATAGCCTGAACCCAATTACTATCTCTAACAGCCTGCTGAAAAGAGTAGGGCTCAATAATAGAAGAGAAAGCAGTAAGACAAGCTTTATAGGAAGGAGATAAGGCAGAGTAACAGAGAGAAACAGATAAAGGATAAGTAGTGTGAGAGGACTTAGTGCCAGGGACATAGTCTGTGAGCCAAATAGGAGGCTTAGAGGTTCTAAGAGACCTTCTAAGACCAGGAGGTGAGGAAGGAGAAGAATAAGGCAACTGACATGGAGATAGAGGAGAAAGAGAAGTAGCAGGAGTAGGAGACAATAAAGGAGAGGTAGAGTTGGAGTTAAAAGGGGTGTCTGAGGTGGAAGATGAAGGAGAAGAGATGACATGAGTAGAGATTGAAGGTATAGCTGAACTTGGTATGGGAATGGCAGGAAAATTATCATCAATAGGTGGAGTGGCAGATTTAGGAGGAAATATATGAGTGGAATCAGGAGTGGGATAACACAGAAAGGTAGACTTAGGATGCTTGAAAGGAAACACATTTTCCCTAAAAGATACATTCCTACTGACAAAGAAAGTGCCACTGGAGATGTTGTATAGTTTGTAACCTTTTTGAGTTTCTAAGTATCCCATTAAGATGGCAGGAATGGCTCTAGAAGCAAATTTGTCAAGGGGGTGAGGAGTAGTGGCATAACAGAGACATCCAAACACTTTGAGGTGAACAAATGAGGGTGAATACCCATGAAACAACTCAAAAGGTGATTTCCCTGAAAGTGCTGAAGATGGCAGCCTATTAATAAAGAAAGCTGTTGTGAGAACACATTCCCCCTAGAACTTTAAAGGTGCATGAGCTTGAAATCTAAGAGCTCTAGCCATTTCAAGTAAGTGTCTATGTTTTCTTTCAGCCACTCCATTTTGTTGTGGAGTGTGTACACAAAAACTCTGATGGACAATTCCAAGAGAAGTAAAGAGTGTGGAAACTTGTGAATTAAAAAATTCAAGGCCATTATCAGTTCTAATCACTTTAATAGTGGTAGAGAATTGTGTTTTAGCTAAGGTGTGAAAGGATTTGATCAAAAGAAAAGCATCACTCTTCATTCTCATCAAATAAAGCCATGTCATTCTAGAGTAATCATCCACAATAGTGAGGAAGTATCTATATCCATTGTAAGTACATTGTCTATATGGACCCCACACATCCATATGTATAATTTCAAAAGGAGATACAATTTTCTTGACACTATTAGGAAATGGAAATCTAGTTTGCCAAGCTAAATGACAAACAGTACAAGACATAGAGTCATTATTTAACAATTGGTGTTTCAAGAAAGGTATTTTTTGTATGACAGTAATTGGTGCATGCCCAAGTCTTTGATGCCAAATGTTGCAGTGGCTGGATTCCAGTAATGAGGAGTGAGATGAGTTTGAGGCTGGTGTATGAAGAGTTGGAGTAGAGCTTGGAACTGTAGTAGGTGTACTGAGTAATGACAAGGAAGATTGCTCAGGTCCTTTGACTGGTAATGGCTTCTTGGTAGGTTGAAGTATGTAAAGACCATCCTTCTCCTTACCAATCTCCCTCACTTTGCCAGTGCAAAGGTCCTGAAAGATGCAAAATTCAGGGAAGAATAAAGCACAACACTTCAATTCCTTGGTGAGTTTAGAGACTGATATCAGATTATATTGAAAATTTGGAACATGTAACACATTATACAATGACATATCATTTGGTAATGTCAAAGATCCTCTGTGTGTTACTGAAGTTGTGTGTTCATTTGGCAGATGTACTTTGTTGAAATTGGACTTAACAGGAGTAGATTCAGTTAAAAGGTTCAGACTAGAAACTATATGGTTTGAGGCTCCAGTGTCAATCACCCAAGAATCAGGTTCAGAACCGCAAAGTAAGCAAGTATTAAGAAGTTCTTTTATACCTGCCATATTAGCTCTTGCCTCTGCAACAGTTGGCTCTTGGTTGATCAGCTTCAAAAGATGTTGGTACTGATCTGCAGTGAACATTGGCAAAGCACTGTGAGTTGGTGTATGACTAGCCTATGGTTCTTCCACAAAATTGGCATTATTTGCTGATGCTCCCCTGTAATTCCTTGAACCATGTGACCTGTCAAATCCCTTTCTTCTGTTAAACTTATGACCTGTGTGAGCACGTGATTTTTGCCTCACGAAAATTACTCCAAAATAATTCAAAAAAATAATAATAAAAACATTTTTTGCTTAGAGTGCAATTTTCTAGAATTCGTATGGCGTTTATTAAATATTGGTGTTATGTCCGTAAATGTCTACTTTGTCTGTTAAAATGAAGGATAAAATAAAAAAAACACATGTTGCATGCATAATTAGGATTTAATTATGCATTTAAGAGTTAATTAAAATAAAATCGCAAAAAATATGCATATTCTATTTTTTTTTTAAATGTTTCACTGTGTGATTAATGTTATGTCTATGTGTTAATAATTGTTAAAGGTTGATTAATGTCTTGTAAAGTTAATTTTTGTTTTTATAATTTTTAGGATTTTTAATAATTAAATTGGAAATTAAAAAAGAGTGGAAAATAATAGGCAAAAACAGACTGGGTCAATTAATTGAAAGGGCAGGCCCAAAACAAATCAAACCCCCTCAGCCCAATCCAAACACCCCATGTCCGGTCCAATTTAATCAAACCAAACGACAACGTTTGGTGACATTTTATCAAGGACCGTTGGATCAAACCCATCCAACGGCTGAGATCCCATATTCATTACCCATAACCCTTACCCGACCCACTGCCCCGATCCAATCCTTTCCCTCAACTTAAACCAAACGACGTCGTTTGGTTAAGTGAAACGATCCTGACCGTGTATCTTACTTGATCGGATGGTCAATATGCATCCACCCCTTCCCTATATAAATCCTAAACCCATACCCCGACCCCCTAACTAAACACCCCCCCT